AAGGCATTTTCGATCGGCCCTGTTCTACCACTTAAGTGAACATAGCAGCAAAAACTGTTTCTTAGACTCAAAATTGTCGTTATTGGCATTTCAATCTGAGACCACGCAAAGTTTGGACAACGTCGATCATTTTATTGAATAACATATTTGCTTGAGGAATGCCTCAGATTTGGCTTAAGTTTCTCTGGTTGCCCCCGAAAAGATAATATTCCTCAGAGTTGAGCAGTTCGTTCCTTTCAGATCTGAAGGTAGCAAGATCGTCTTATGATGCTTAGATGGCAGCAGAGCTCGCTGTCAGAGCAACTTCGATCGAACGAACGACCGGCGGAATGGTGGCGCTGATGGCACACCGTGGACTAGCGGTCATTAAATACGAACGGCCGTCGCTTTTCGAGGCTAGGCGTCGTTCTCGGGTCATTTTTTGCCACTCATCAATATCTGCCAACGCTTCGTTGACTGCATAACCTGTTTTCGGCACTTTTTAGTTTCGCCAGACTTTTACTGTTCCGGAGCGGACGCGAAAAACCCGGACGCCGTTCAAAGGAGGACCGGTTTTCGATCTGCTGTGCGTGATTGATGGTGTGGCGGCAGTGGCAAACGCTGATTCGACTGACTGACCGTCAAGAGGCCGCCTCTCGGCCTCGTCACTCAAGTCAGGCAGGCATCGACGCACCCGTCGGTCGACACGAAGGCGAGTTCGCCAACACGAAGACCGACCACGCGACCCTCGCCAGATGCATGCTGGTCCTCTTCCGTTCTGGGCAGCGCGTCCAACCAGGCGACATGTGGCAAATCGCTTTTTACTGGTATTCTTTTTGACCTCATCCTCGTCTGTATTCGTAGACTCCTTAAACGCTTGAACATTAATGTGGTCGTTTAGAAACATGCTCTTCCCAGTTGTAGCATTAACGAGTAAACGGTACGAAGCTCGTTGATGCGCCAGTGAAATGATGGCGTGAGACGCATGTGAATTAACAAGCCTTAGATCAGAGTTAGCGACTGTTTAACGTCAACTCGACTGCCTCGGCATCGGCATTCGGAGGAATCGTTACACCCTTTCGCCTTCTTACTATTATTGACTGACCGTTGAATTACGTTCACATGACATCCGCGACAACTGATGCTATGCAAGAAGTGATCGTCTGAAATGTCAAGCGTCTTTTGACAAATTCAGGCCTGAAAAATAAAAACAATTAAGAGCACCGAAGATCAGTTTCATTTTTTCACACTCCAAGCACTGATACCGGATTTACACGCCATTTGCTCACCATCCCTTACTTAAAGTCTCCTAGGGCATCAATTAAGCAGGTCACAGTTCCACGGTGCTTAAGCGTCTGCGGTACCTTGGATGCAATACCGTGTCTTCAGTTTGGGCTGGACAAGGGTAGCAGTAACAAAATTTGACGCTATCCATCGTCAAATGTGTAGTGTGTTGATGCGTTTTCACTCGGTAATTGAAAAATACTCTTTACCCGTGGGATTTCAAAGCTGCCATCCATCTGTAGCAGTTACGGATAACGCTAGGGTTATATTTTATCGTATTTTGTCTAGAGTTTTTTGGTGTTTAACAATGCGTCGTTCGGATTCTCTGCGCCGATTCTGCTTTTCTACTAAGCTACTCGTTGGCAGCTGCGAGTACTGCATACAGCTGCGTTTTAAAAATGAAGCGTGGACATTATGCGATGTTGCATCTGTAGATGAATCCAACCTCATGCAAAATGTTGGGCAACGTTCGAAGCATTGCAATTTAAACGTAAATGGAAGTAAATTTGTTCACAATCGGTGGCACAGTGATGTTTCAGTCATTCGATGTTTAGGGTTGAAACTGCCCCTATATCATCCAGCATTTTCTAAGTTTTTCTAGCAGTTTCAAAAATATATGGAAGAACATTGGATA